TCCTACTGCTACTCCTACTGCTACTGCTACTGCTACTGCTACTGCTACTGCTACTGCTATTGCTACTGCTACTGCTACTGCTACTGCTCCTCCTCCTCCTCCTGTCCTCCTCTTCCTCCTCCTACTCCTGCCACTACCACTGCTGCACTACTACTAGGACAGACCCCCCGGGGACAACCGGGGCACTAAAGAATGTCTCGACGATATTTGGGATAAAACCCCGGAGCCCTAAACCCTGCACCCGGATGCATCCTGTACTCCCCCCTGGGGCCATGGCTCGGAGAAAGAGCTTCGGAGTATTCACAGACCAAAGAAGTCCTCGGAGTTTCAGGTCCAACAAAAATCAGGGTCTTGGGTTTGGGGGTTGATTAGTTTGCGACAGACAGTCGATGTCTAGGCTTGGAAGTCTAAACACTAAAGCTATAGGTGTAAGGCTTACTGGGACTCGGGTTCACAGAGGCGCACCTGAGAAGCAGCCAAAAAGAAACCAAACAAAAAGACTAATTTGGGTTGGGAACTTGGTGTAGAAAAGCATCAGGGTACCCGAAGGAAAAAACCTTCTCTCACGGGCTAGGCCGCGAGATTGGGCGTTGGGTGGCTGAGCTTCTAGGAGTTTGGTCAAGGCTGGCTTGGGATTGTAGGGTGAAGGCTTTAAGCTTAAGAGTTAGGATTAGGAGACTTTTGGGGATATAGACCGTCTCGCCTCTCAAAAAGGTCGCTGTTAAGAGAGCCATAAGTAGGCTTGAGAGGGTTCCCTTTAAAGGGTCTCCCTAATACTAGCTAGCAAAGCTTCGCGCGCTCGCATCAGCGGGCACAGCGCTTAACGCCCTTCAACGTCCTGGAGACCCTGGGCTGGGTCTTTCCCTCCCATGGACTAAGGTTTGGGGTTTCGGGGTTTAGGGTGTAGGGAACTGCTGCCCGGCCTGGGGGTAGACCGCCCCTAGCAGAGCCAAAACAACATCGTGGTAGTCAATGCTGCGGTCGCAGCCTCAGCTCACTGGCAAGTGAGATCGCCGTGCCTTCTCGCAAAATCCGCTTGCCATCCTCTGTGAGAGCATTCGAACTGCCATTGTTAACCAGCACACGACAGGGCCTCAGCCGCGACTCCCGTATTGCCTCTGTTTCAAGAGGATAGACCCGTAATCCGAAACCGCTCACACCGGCTTCAACCCCGTGGGCCGAAACGTCTGAAAGTCGGCCCCAGGCCTTGATCGAATGGAATCTATGTACTACCCAGTGCGCCCATTCGAACGTCCGGATCCAATGGGCGCACGTCTGCTCCACCTTCGCCTTGTACAAAGGCAGCTTTGTTAAAGTGACATGCTCGCGGTTGGCCGTCGGGGCGATGACGCCATCAAAGGTCTGGTGTATAGCCTACTGTATAGCCGGTCCTCTCCTCCTGGAACCATACGTTTTGGCCTCTTGGCCGCCATGGTTGCCTTCCTCTCGAGGGCTCGCAGCACTGTAAAAGTGAACGCTCTGGATGTTCGTAGTAGCGAGCGAGTTGACTCTTCTCGAGTCCAGCCTTGCTCCTTTGCGGTGCTTTCGTGACACGGCGTCGCCGGTATGCCAAGCATAGCCTCTTGATACCCGCCCATGTTTCTTAATTTTGCATGTCTCTTTCTCAATCGGCGCGCGTTGCCGTTTGGAGCGGGGTGATTTCCAGACTTGCTACAAGGTTATGACACGGAACCGACATTTTTGCAATTTATTCAGGCTTCCTACAGTACGCAGACTTGGAGCTTCAACCCTGTCCTTCCGCGTGCTTTGTGAGGGCGCTTCCGAACTCCAGCGCCGACGCCCTGTGTTGAGAACTTCGGGTGATAGAGTCTGTCGTTCTGTGCATGGTAGGGAAGAAGGCTTTGTGGTGTCTTCAGGCTTTCGGATTAGGGCTTGCACAGTGGTACCTGTAGTCTCCAGTGTGATTCCTTGTTCTGGGTTAAATCAATATTATTATCTGTTGTACATATGAGATCCGAAAATCTAGAAACCCGAAAATCGAACTACAATGGCGACTATAGGTAGAGATATACTAGAGAGTTTCAAGTTTCGAGCCACTGAGGGAACAAACAATGTGTCATCTCAGCCATTCGTCTCGAGCAAGGCCCCCTCACATTCTCCAAGCCTACAGGGCTCAACAGAAGAACACAACCCCTCAAGTCCAGATACAACATCACTTTTCTCTAACCCTAAACCCTGAAGCCCCCTAAACCCTCAACCCTAAACCCTAAAACCACCAAATCCCAAGCTCAGAGAGCCCTGACCTTCCCCTGACACGGCCAGACGACTGGCTCTGAAGATCGACTCCCGTGAATCCGGAACCCAAAAATCTCAGGGCTTAGGCTTAAGGAAGTAGAGTAGCCTAGAGGTACCGGGGCTTTTTTCCCGATATTATTGCAGCCTGCAGCCGCTGTCCGAAGCGTGCACCGGCCCGGCCTTAGAAAAAGCATCCGCTCATGGTTGTGATCCTGTCAGGTCGAGGTTTAGCACTAGAGGGCTTTACCCATAGGCCCCTAAGCATTTCCTTTTTGGGATTACCTTATAGGGTTCTAACTATAAACCATAAAAAGGAACTACTTAGGGGCCTACGGGTATAGGGTTTCTGAGGCCAGTGTAGGGTTTTGAGATTCAGGGTTCAGGGTCCAGAGCTTTGGGTTTCAGGAGCCTTAAGGTTTAGAGACAGGCTTGGAGGCTTACCGGAAAGAGGAAAATCTGGGGGTACGGTCAATCATGCTGATTCAGTCCTGGTGGCTTTTCACCAAGGGCTCGGAAGCATTCCAACCTGTTGTAGTTCGTTGCATCCACGGCTTGACAGCATCAGTTGTAGAGCCTTTGCTACAGTCGCTAACACTTACAAAATATTTCGATGCATCAAAGCCTTCAGCTGTGTCTCCCTCCACAACCCTTTTGACCGCCAGCCACCCGATTCCAAAACCATAGATGCCAAAAGGCCAAAATCTCTGAACCCTGGAGTCGTAATCCCCACATCCTCCTTTTGCAGCAGGCCAAATTGTCCAGCAGCCCGGTCTAGTCCGGGATTACCCTGACCCTTGAACCTGAGTTTAGGGTTTAGGGTGTAGGGTTTAGGGTTTGGGGCATAGACCCTCAGCCCTCACTGACCCTTGCTGCGGGTCCTGCACGGATCCGACGAAGGAGAGCTTGTGAGCTCTAAGAGCCTTCAGCACTGGGGGCGGCCCTGGTGGCTCTCAGGCTCGAACATGACGGTTACTACTTGTGCATTCGTGTACTATAAGGGTTGTAGGGTATAAGTATAAGCGATTGAAGATTTCGCAACGAAAAGCATTGATATCCCTGTATACCTTATACTAAACATTAGAACAGGGCTCCGGACTGGGTCTGAACCGGTAGTAATTGCCCCACCACCTTGTAGTCAGTACATACAAAATGAGAGATGCTATGCTCTAAACTCTGTTCTACCACGTAGTATGGCCGGTATAGTAGGGTTTAGGGTTCAAGCTGCAAGGTTTAGAAGTCAGGGTCGAGGCTTCGGGGTGCAGGTTAGGAGTGTTCAAGATTTCAGGGCCTAGGCTGAAGGGTTTATGAGGGGGCTAGGGCTTAGGATGAGGGTTCAGACTTCACAGATTACGATCAGGGCTTAGGGGTTTGTGTGGGATAGCATTCAGGCTTGATGTGTTTAAAGGTTAAAACCGGGATGAGTTTGAAGGTCCTGGAGGGACCGAAACCAGAAGCCCTATAAACCTCAAAAGCCTAAACCCAGTGATGCAAGGACTGTGAGTGATTCTAGCCCTTGCGTCACTCTAGGAACTATCTCGCCCGCCATGTACTGATGATCAGAACCTGCAGAAGCCAGGCTTTAGGGTATTGGGAGCTGAGGAACCCAGAGTACAGGACAATGTGCAGTGCTGTCAGGTAGAGCTCCGCCCATGGTACATTGGTACATGCTCTTGCTCAGCTCCCATGGAGAAAACTTCGTGAATTGGAAGACTGCCATACACAGCAACCATAGCAACGTAAACCCGACTCCGAGAAAACTGATCTCGCCAAGGACCTCCACAACAGCCTGACAATCTTCGCGAAGCATGAATGGCACGTTCACCAAGCGCCTGCTCATCCCCGTTGGGGCTTAGAGGTTAGGGTTTAGGGATTCAGTCTTAAGGGCTTAGGGTTTCAACAACTGTGTCTCTCGTTTCCTTTGGGCTTCCGAGGCATGAAGGGTTTCAACAACCTGTGTCCCTCAATTTTAATTTAATCTTCTTTCCCTTGTGGCCTCGTCTGCATAAAAAGCCGCGGCAGACATGGAACCGCTTCAAAAGGTATGGATGCCGTCATCGAAGCCAAGGTACTTCAGGAGCGGGGTCTGTAGCACGAGGGTTCTGCTAGTTCTCCTTCTGTTTCAGAGACCACGACCTTCTCATCCGACGCTAACTATGCAGGGAGGCCAGAGCGCCGATTTCTTCGGCCCAACGCACACTAAGCTACAGATCGTAGAGCATTCCTCATTTGAGGGGCACTGGGCTCTCTTGGAAAGGGGCGCAAACTTCCGGACAGGCATCTCCAGCATCGAAACCGTAAACTCCAGCCAACAATCCGAACCCTTGACCTTAAAACGTTGACAGAGCACGCCGACGAAGCAAAGCGGCATCCTCTTAGCAACGAGGGTTAGATGGTGGGTTGGGGTTGGTCTCGGGTTTAGCCGAAATTCATGTGATGCTCCCTGAGCCCAGAAAGCCTGATCTTTTTACTGTGGGGCCAAAAAAGCCTTCAGCTACCACAACCTGCCTGTCTCAATGGTTTTATCATAAGGCCGCTAAGGCCTCATATCAGACTCATATCGAGTTTTCATGGCCTTTACTCAAGGCGTAGGTCGGGGCAGCTCAGGGTAGACCTCAATCAAGCGCTTGGCGAGATGCTTGAGCCAACAATGGACCCTCACACCCCTTGAAACATCTATATGAAAGTTGGATGGCTTAAGATGAGCCAATTGATAATTTTGCTCCCTTGCCTGCAGCACCCCCATTAAAGGACCATAACTCAAGCGGCTGATGAATCAAGCCCTAAACCTTGCACGCCCTAAGCCCTATAAACGATACATGCGCTTTCCTAGAGAGTCCATATATACGACTATTATGGAATAACTAAGCCCCCAGAACCATAATAATTATGGTCTTTAGGCAAAAAATCCCTAAACCCTAGACCATAAAAGAACACGCCAAGAGAAATCTCGAATCAAGGGTTTAGTATAGGGTTGAGGGGGGCAGAACCCCGCATCATAGTCTGAACATGGCTAAACCAGCACATGAACAAAAAAAGTACCCTAAATCCTACACCCTAAGCCCCGGCGGCCTTGTTGCATAAAGGTTGGCCGCAAGGGCGGAGGGAAGAGATCCCTGATCGAGCTCACCTGGTTGAGAGCTTATAGTAGATGATTGTAGTTGTGTTATTGCATGCATAAACCCTGAACCCGTACACGTGACATAGGGGCCTGGGTTCAAGACGTGGGAAATAGGGTTTTGGTGGGTCCATGGTACTTTGGTTCAATGTGGAGCCTTAGGGAATACTAATATAAATTGTCAAAGCCGTTATAATACACCCTATTCAACTCTACACCTGTTCAAAAGCCTCACTTGGGGCCTAAACAACTAACAATTCTCTGTGCCCTCGGGTTTCTATATCTATAAACCCTACACTAGAAAACACCAAAATCCTGTTCGAAATATGTCAGGCCCTTCTTCCCCGGTTTAGGCCCTAAACCCCGAACCCTAAAACCCCTAAGCCCCAAACCCGAAACCCTAAACCCTAAACCGGCCTGTGGTAAGGATCATCATGTTCCGTGTGGTGGCATAGAAGGCCTTGACTGCCCAAAGGTGCGCCTACGGAAGGCGCCGGCTTTAGACCGGGCTTAGGGTTTCAGGTTTAGGATTTAGGGTTTTAGGGTTTAGGGTTTTAGGGTTTAGGATTTAGGGTTTGAGGGTTTAGGGTTTTAGGGTTTAGGGTTTAGGGCTTAGGGTTTAGGGCTTTAGGGGGCTAGTCTAGGGCTTACATGGGCTTCGGGTTTGAAGCTTATTTTTGGCTAGTATAGGGGCCTTACATAATTAGAATAGGATCTTAGAGGTATGTTATAGTATATTATATAGCTATATGGCTAGTACAGGGGAGTACAGGGGACGTTGCGGGGCATGCAGGACCTGTAGTAGGGAGTAGGGCTTGAGGTTTCGGGGCGCAGTATAGGAGCCTTAATAACTAGACAAGGGTTGCGGGGGCATATTATACTATAGTTATCATAAGGAACCCCGCCGAAATAGTATAGGTATTTATGAAGGCCCCTATATTAGGGAGTTCGGCATCCAAGCCCACAGCCTCGTCACGTGGCCGCGGCACCCCAAGCGAGAAGTCGAAATCGCTGACAACCGGATATTCCTGCATCCCGCGTGAGAAACATGCCGAGACCAACACTTGACCACATGAACTGCGTGTGCTCCACCATCTCACAGCTCTGAAAACAATGATAGACATCGTGAAATTACATGCAGGCCCAACAGACCACAAAGCACGGATCAAGTATTCCGGTTGGTCGGGGCAGCATGCTCCAAACACGACGTTCCGAATCGCTGACCCTCGACCCACCGCTCAAAAATTCCTTACGGCCTTACGGCCCGAACCGCCCGAACCGCCCGAACCAAAACTTCACGGTCCATGCCGTGAATGTAGAAGTGGTCGTAGCCGATGTTGCCTGGGTGGCTGATCTCGTCTATGTCGCCCCTGCTGCGTGCGTTTGCATGTGCCGCTGATATCTGATATCTGATATTGTGGGAACCTGTTGCACGGCTGGTTCAGGGCAAGGGCCTAGGGCATGATGGGTTTGGGGTCTGACCTGAGATCATCATGTCGGGGTAGGAAAGGTAGACCTCCACATGAATCCGAGCCCGAGGACGCCAATAAAGACTGCTGCTCGTCAGCGCCGCGGAAGCAACGGCCAGGCAACTGAGGCTTTCCTGATCGATTATATTCTTTAAGGCACAATGGCGCTTCCTAGTTAGTACGATTAAGGCACAATGGCGCTTCCTAGTAGGAGGTAGGTAGGAAGCAGGTATTCCTTGTAGATGTACTGTGGTCTAGGAAGGCTGGGGTTCGCAAGGGGGTGTTTTTACCCGAGTTTTTCCAGGCTTTGCACCTTTTTCAGGATCTGGCAATGAAAATTCTCTAGAATCCTGCTTATGGGGGTTTCTATGCCACGCGTCCGTGTTTGGACTCAACCCGGGCCCTAAAAAGTGCACTTCGCCGGAAGCTTCCAGCTTTCAATGGGATTCTACAGGGAACTGCGACATTGCAGACAGAAGTTTCATAGCAAGCTTGAAGCCAGTTAGGAGGACAGCTACCTGCGAGCTAAGAAAGAGGTGAGGCTTGATGCGAGATTGTGGGTTCAAACCGTGCTCCATAACTGTTCTGGCTTCGTGGCGCTAAAATTTGCGAGCTAGTTGGTGGTGGCCTAGTAGATAGGGCCTCAGGGCTGAGGTTTCAGGGAGAATAAAGCATAAAAAGCCGGGTCGGCAGTAACCCCGTGAACTCGAACCCCCCCCGCCCCCCACAAACAAATCTGCAGAATCGAAAGCCCAAGCCAACACAGGCATCCAGCACATCCTGCTGCATGTTTGCAACACGGACTTTATCTGCGAGCTCCTCTTTTGGCTCATTGACCGAAACGCGAACATGCTCACCCTGCTGCGAAGGCAACCCGAGGAGCCTAGCTACCTATGTAGTGAGTTACTGTTCCTCACCTCATACAAAGCATCTAGCACCCATAACCCAGTCATACTCTCTGGGTAACTGGGCTCTGGGCTCTGGTGCCAGCCCTAAGCTACAAACCGAAAAAAACCCATCGCAGAAAGCTCTATGGTGCGAGCTTCGACTCGGGGGCGAAAGCTTATTGTGTTTAGGCTTTAGGCTTTACCCATAGGCTCCTAAGTAGTTCCTTTTTACGGTTCATATTCAGAATCCTCTAATGTAATCCCAAAATGGAACTACTAGGGCCTATGGGTAGATGACAGAATCAAGCGGGAAACCTGGCTCAAGAAAGCCAGGTTCCAAGTGCTGACCGTGAACAACATGAATAGAAGAGTTGCAGTGTCGACCTTCGGTTAAGGGCCTTAATATGAGGATATCTCTACTATACCAGGGGATCCAAAAACCTACTGTTTGCAGGGTTCTACCCTCGAACTAAGGGGTCATAACCTACTATTTTGTAGGGTTTTGGGTCGCAGGTAGACCCTGCTAAGATTACCCTATTAGCACACACACCGTGGAGAAGCTTTGCTGCACTGGCTTGCAAGCTACGAAGATCACGAACATAAGACGGAAACAAACACACGCAACCCTTCAATCTGGAACTTTCCAAGGCGAGCCATTCTGCCCAGCATCTCGTGACAGTAGGTTCTTTCAAGACCGTCACTGACAACTCGAAGGCTCATGGGATGACAAGCTGGGGTAGAAGGTCGTTCAAACGCGTACATAATTTCAAGAGGGTTCGGGGGTATACTGCACAATGTCTGGCTTTCTGTAATGTTCTGCAACCCTGAACCCTAAACCCCAAACCCTAAATTAGAACAAACAGGGAACCCGAAGTATGCGGCCACGAACCATTAAGACCTCTGTATTCCTCAAGCAGGCTGGCACGTGCCATGAGCCTTCAAGAGAGCCGTGTCAAGCTGCCGTGGTGCTGGGAGCGTTTCAGGGGCCGAAAGATGCCAAGAGTTTAGGTTTTAGGGTTTGGGGTTTGGGCTTTAAGGTTCAGGGCTTAGGGTTGAAGGTTTAGGGTTGGAAGGTTTAGGGCTTGAGGTTTAGGGCTTAAGGGTTCAGGGTTTAGGGTGTAAGGTTTAGGGGTACAGGGCTTCGGGTACTTACAGCTTTGGGGCCCCGGTGCTGATCCTCCATTCAGGTTCGCCGAACCTCCAAGGTAAGGTCCTCAAGCCTCAACCCTAAACCGATGGAATCCTTGTCTGAAGCCCGAAACCATAAACCCTAAATTCGTTTCTGAATTTCTTTTTTGAGCAGGGACTGCAATGCACTTTTCTGAATTTCTGAAACCCAAAACCCCAAACCCTAAATCTACTGAAGCGCCCAAACCATTACATCCTGAGTCGCAAAGCCTGACACCCGCAGCCGCCTCGAAACCACTGACGGTCTAACTTCCTAAAGGGTCCTAGCTACTGTTACGGGGCATACCTCCCCAAATCATAGTAGTAAGTCCTGGTATACCCTACAGCCTACTCCATAGGTACTTAGCTATGGACCCTTGAGACTAAACCAAACCCGCAACCCGAAAGCCGAAATCCTTGACCGTGTAGGATTTGGGGTGGGCTCTACGGTCCCCTGGAGCTGAAACCCCTTATCTAATCCCCTAATGTAGGGGCCTTAATAATGAGAACAGGGTGTGGGGCCCCCCTCATAGTATGATTATAACAAGGAGCCGTAAGGAGTAACATTGCTAATTGATCAGGCTTCTTTTTTTCAACCCCTGAACCCGAGCTGGAACCTTTAATCGCCGAAACCCTAAACCCTAGCTGAAAGCCTCGATGCACCCGAGACCCCGGCCCCCGAACCAGCAGAGACTACAGCTACGGCCGGGCCCAGCTCAGTCGATCTCCGTCTAGGGCTGAGCCAAAACCTCCCATGAAGTCTTGGCGGGTTCGGGAAGGGTTCCTAAACCCTAAACCCCTAAAGGGTTTAGGGTTTAGGGCTTGTAGGCTTTTGGCTTTAAGGTTCAGGGTTCAAGGTTTGGTTTGGGGAGTTTAGGATTTTGGGGCTGAGGGTTTAGATGGGATTTGCTGCTCACCTCGAGGATCCAAGCATGAAATTCGTCCCTACCGTAGGGGTTTAGAGTCTACAAACAGTAGTTCCTGGGGCTATTTGGAGCACAGCGCTTCGCATTCAGGGTTAAATTTGAAACTTGAGTTGACGTTTATCGGACTCTAGGGATTCTATGGGTTCTCCAGTAGCCCCTTCAGAAGAAGGGTCGCCTTCTTCCTACTCATTTTGGCTTGAACAAGGTAACCCAAGAAGACAAAAAAGGGCAAAAAGGTACTACTGGGAATCTAGGATTCGAGCTTGGGAGCTCAAATTCTAGGATTTCGGAGTGTCGTGCTTTCCAAGACCTCCTACGGCGTTGGTATGGCGTCGTGGTCACTAGCAGCGCAGCGTTCGGGTAGAGGAGTACCCTAAACCCTAAATCCTAAGCCCTAAACCCTAAACCCGACGGTTTAGGTAGCATTCGAGTTTCAAAGTTCAGGATCTTTGGCTGCCACGCTTGAAAGCGGCCAGGTCTGCCCATAAGCCCTACCCATAGGCCCCTAAGTAGTTCCTTTTTGTGGCTTATATTTAGAATCCTATAATAGAACCTTTACCCATTTGAAGGCTCAGGTTTCAGGTTCAGGGCTTCCAGCACCTAGCCGGAAGGTGAAGTTTTACGGTCTGTGTGTAGGGTTTAGGGATTAGGCCCGAAGAAGCACCCTAATACCCCAATTCGTGAAGGCCCCCGTGTCTTCGCCCTGGGACCTTGTCAGAAGCGACGCTGCCGGCTCATTGGACAGCGGGGGGTGTGTTTTACCTGGCTTGATCGAAAATTACGGCTTACACTCTCACATCTCGGATGAAAATTTACGGCTTATGGTTTAGGGCTAAAAAGGGCTTAGGGGCTAAGGTGCAGGGTTGCGCAGCAGCAACTTTGAGCCCCAAAGCCGAGGTTGGAGGGTAGAGGATCAAGGGACCGAGTGACCTGGTAAGTACGGACAACAGTGTAAGCTTTCTTTAGGGTAACAGTAGATATGTTTCCTTGTAGCCCTAATTCCGGTACGTGTGACCCTGCTTAATAAGTAGCCCAAGCCTCCAAGCAGGTGCTACTCAGAAGGTTTTGACTTTCCAGAGGGGGTCTCCTGCTCAAGGTTGGGCTGTATGTACCACCAAGGCTTAGAAGTCCTAAACCCTAAACCCAAAGCTTTGAGGTTCGAGGTGTAGAGGTTTTAGGGTATGCGGTCTCAGATACTGAACTGAGACTCGGGCGTGTTGTTTGTACAATCATGCAATGGTGGTCCAGTCTTCAATTCCCGGCTAACCACCAGCAAGTAAACCTTTTTTTCACAAGGGACTCGACTGCTGCCCTTACTGCCCAGCTTGACCCACAATACAAGTAAACCTTAAACCCCAAAACTCCTAAACCCTATGGAAGGTGGCCTGCTGCGACGCCGCCAAAAACCCTAGACCTTAAAACTTGAGCACAGTTAATGGCTTCAACGAGCTCCAGCGTACCCATAGACGCCTAAGTAGTTCCTTTTTATGGTTTATATTTAGAACCCTATAAGGTAATCCCAAAAATGAACTACTTAGGGGCCTATGGGTAAGCCTTTCTTCTGGGGCATGGTAGGACTAGGGTTCGCGCATTTTTCAGTGCACACGGTTTAGAGTTTAGGGTGCTACTCCACCACTTCAAGCCAAAATCCGCGATTTTCTGTGCTGTCTACTTTCACCCTGAACCCTGAATCACCCATTCCACTTCCCCTTCCGGCTCCGGCCGTCCATCTCCATGTGAGGTTGATCCGCGGGCCATCGACGTGGCCCTCCTTCAAAGAGTTTAGTGTATTGGGTTACTTCACGAAGACCTAAACCACAACAGCCCCAAGCCTCAAACCCGAGGGGTAGTTCTGGCCTCTCAAATTTCGCAGCTTGAGCCTTTGAATCGAG